TATATATATATATATAATAATACGAATATAATTAATTTTACTATTTCATTTCATTTCATTTATTTGTACATCAATTATAAAATAAAATAAACAAAACAGACAACAGATTTAAGCGAGAAAAGTTAGATGTACGAGTACTATTTGGTGTACTAATCTTCTATTTTAAAGAAATCTGCATGATTTCATGTACAAAGTTCGTATCTTGAAACAAAAGTATAAAATATAAAGTCATAAAACATAAAGTAAGTCTCAAAACATGCCATCGACGTTAAAAAATTCTTTCAGGCTAAACCAATGGACAAGCATGTATGAGAACTGTTTTATATGACATTTTCTTGTTTTATGATTATTTAAATATATATATTTTTTAAATGTACCACGCATGGCATGCACTTCCAGACAGCAGCTTTTTGTTTCGTTTTGCAGTTATCTTAGTGACCTAGAGCGTATTGAAAAGCCTGATTTCCTTCCGACCGAGCAAGACATCCTCCGGGCACGAGCTCCCACCACCGGAATTATAGAATATCCATTTGATCTGGACTCCATCATATTTAGGTACTAATAGTCTTTCAATCCGATTCTATGCCTTCGATCGTGCACTCGAGTTTTTCGCAAGATATCTTTATAGAAAGCAATGAATCACTTAAACTATTTCTTTTTCTTATTGAAATGAGTTTGAATTTATTTTTTTGATGAATTTAAAGTAGATCGTTTTCTTCGTACGAATATCATAGCTTTAATTATTCCTAAATTACGATCGTTTAGAATAGAAGATCTAGATTAATAGAAAATAGATAGTAGAGAAATACATTTTAAGGAATTTAATTTCTGAAAATATAAAAGTATATGTATAATTTATTTATATGTCGATCGCTTTAGTAGAACTTTAATTTGACTGTTAATAAAATTATTAAAAGTATTTAATGTTATTTGCTACAAAAATTGGAATATAATTTAATTTATTTAATAATTTATTTATTTAAATAATTTTATGATATATCCTTTGTTTTTCCGAGAAAGGAGAAGGATGAACAAGATTTTTTTGTATACATATATACATATATATAATTATATACAATATATATGTATATAATTTTATAATTATTTTGAAGAAGCTTTGACGTTTGCAAGCCTTTTTATGTGTTTTACATTTTTATTAGGTTGTTCAATTAAATATACATAAGCGAATGAACAGCAAATGCAACAATAAATTTATTTAAAACTTTCTTTAACGTACTGTATCTTATGAGCGGATTAAATTAAACGTTAACAGATGTGCTGTTACACATTTATCGTGGCGTAAATAATTTTTTATACAGCATATTTTCAATTAAATTTACATTCGCTGTTCGTTCACTATCTATTTGTTCAGTGTACAGTTACAATAATGCTACTGCATGCGGTGAACTTTATATTAATATCACTTATAATTATGTAGTTGCGATTGAGAATAATAGATGTAGTCATTTATGA